GAGAGGGGCTGGTACCTGGAGCTGGGAGGAGCAGGTGCCTGGAGCTGAGAGGAGCAGGTACCTGGAGCTGAGAGGAGCAGGTACCTGGAGCTGAGAGGAGCTGGTACGTGGAGCTCAGAGGGGCTGAGAGGGGCTGGTGTCTGGAGCTCAGGGGAGCTGGTGTCTGGAGGTGGTGTTTTCCATCCTTGGGCTGCAGCAGGCCTGAGCAGATGTGCTCGCCCGCTGGAGGTGCTTTCTTCAAGCTTGTTTTACAGCAAAATAAACCACCAAATTAAATCGAGGTCACCTAAAGGGACACACACCGGCCCTTTTGTAAGTGAGGAGCCTTTGTGCACAGCTCTGGTTGTTCCTGAAAAGTGGCAGGGGATTGGCACACCGAGATCAGCAGTTCTTGTTTCCTTATCTTCAGCAACTTCACGTGGTGCTGAGTTGTTCCCAGTGTGCTGGGAATGGTGGGGACAGAGGTAGGGAATGGTTAAACTGTCTCCCTGGACACACAAATGCTAATGAAGGTGATTGGGCAGTCTGCTGCTCTGATGGGTCACCAGACAACGACTTGAAATGCTCTCTGTGGTGGGGAGTTTACCAGCTGGCTGGGGCCATGGAGTTTTAGGCTTGAAAGGCCAGGAATAGCCAGCAGGCTGTTGGCTTTGTTCTTGTGTCAATATTTGTGGTATCTGGACAGCATCTCTTTGGCCCCTCTGCTCTGCTCCAGCTTGCAGAGCTGCTGCAGGGGCTTTGGCAGAGGCTTTGAAATCCAGTATCTTACTCTGCTGGACCTCAGGGAACCTGGATTTGCCTCTTCACAATGGAAGCCTTCACGGATTGGCCTCTTCACAATGGAAACCTTGGCTGGACTTGTGAACACTTGTTTAGCTACAGGAAAACTTGCTTTCTGGGCTTGGCTGGAGCCCATGAGCACACTTGTAGGCCTTGGGCCATGAGTTGCACCTAGGTGTTTGAAATAGTGGTGTTGGTTTATACAGTTCCTGGTGCATTCTCCTACCTTCTGTCAGGCTGCACTTGCAGCTGTGCATTAAACTGACTCAGAAGACCAGCCTGGCTGAAGAATATGGAGACTACTTGAACACCAGGTCTGCTCAGCATCTAAACTCTGACTTGGCCACCTCTGTCCAAGTCCCATAGCTGGAGAATGTCCTTACATCAGGTATCCTTCAGGTAGTTCAGGCCCAGCTTAAACCTCCCTTCACTTAGTTTTCCAAACTGAGGTACCTTCAGCCTGGCAGAGGGATGTGCAGTTTATAACTTTGACCTTTAGCCGAGACCAAAGCTCCTCTTAATTGCTCCAAATAAAATATAACTCAGTGCAGGGACAAGGCTGTTATGATGACACAGGGTTGCTGGTGTGGTAGGACTGGTGGCCTTGGGTCCCTACTAGATCTCTTCTCCCAAACCCCCACCTGGAAAGCTTTGCCTCTGTGATCTCTTGGGTATCCTGCTGTATTTGGACTGGACTTTTTTTCCCCTGTCCTCACCTCCCTGGAAACAGCAGAGGGACCTTTTTTGGCCTTCACCTGAAAACCTGCAGGCGGATAGTGAGAAAATCAGTCCTAAACCAACCCTGCCTTAAGCTGATAAAAGGAATAAAGCTCAGAACAAAAGTACTTAACACTCCTAATTGCCCACAGGATCAGCATTAATTGCAGCAGCAGTGTATTAGAGTCCAGTGACCTGCTTAAGTGTTTGCAGAATCAGGGCCTAAAAGACCCAAATCCTATAAAGCTGCTTGGGGAAGGGCCCAGCTGAAAGAAGGTGCTGTCTCCAAAGCAACAGCTCTTTAATAATAGGTGGCTGGGCTCCTGGAGCCCTTGGTACCAAAATAACCTCAGACCAGGTGGACTGCAGAAGGACATGTTTCTGTGCAGAGTCTTCCTGCCCCAGGAAGGCGTTGGGAAAGGTTTTCCAAACCAGCATGAAGCTGTGGTGGGTTTTTTCCCCAGGGAGTCTTCAGGTTGGCTCCTCAGGGTGTTCCCTCCCTGCCAGCCCCAGTCCCTCTCTGCAGGCACAACTGACTCATCCTGCTTCCTGAGTTGATCCTGAACTTATCCAGAGAGGTAATTAAGACTTGTTAGTGGTCTAAGAAATGCTAAGCCCATCTTCCATTTTTAAACTACCCGAAGTGGCTCTGCCTCCTACGTGTTGCCTGCCCTTTTTTCCACAGAGCCTGTCATGGAGAAATTGGAAGCTTTTTCTTTGGAAATCCCAGTCATAGAATGGTCTGGGTTGGAAAGGACCTTCAAGATCATCCAGATCCAACCCCCTGCATGGGCAGGGACACCTCCCACCAGCCCAGGTTGCTCCAAGCCCCATCCAACCTGCCCTTCAACACTGCCAGGGATGGGGTCCAGTGACCTGCTTAAGTGTTTGCAGAATCAGGGCCTAAAAGACCCAAATCCTGTAAAGCTGCTTGGGGAAGGGCCCAGCTGAAAGAAGGTGCTGTCTCCAAAGCAACAGCTCTTTAATAATAGGTGGCTGGGCTCCTGGAGCCCTTGGTACCAAAATAACCTCAGACCAGGTGGACTGCAGAAGGACATGTTTCTGTGCAGAGTCTTCCTGCCCCAGGAAGGCGTTGGGAAAGGTTTTCCAAACCAGCATGAAGCTGTGGTGGGTTTTTTCCCCAGGGAGTCTTCAGGTTGGCTCCTCAGGGTGTTCCCTCCCTGCCAGCCCCAGTCCCTCTCTGCAGGCACAACTGACTCATCCTGCTTCCTAAGTTGATCCTGAACTTATCCAGAGAGGTAATTAAGACTTGTTAGTGGTCTAAGAAATGCTAAGCCCATCTTCCATTTTTAAACTACCCGAAGTGGCTCTGCCTCCTACGTGTTGCCTGCCCTTTTTTCCACAGAGCCTGTCATGGAGAAATTGGAAGCTTTTTCTTTGGAAATCCCAGTCATAGAATGGTCTGGGTTGGAAAGGACCTTCAAGATCATCCAGATCCAACCCCCTGCATGGGCAGGGACACCTCCCACCAGCCCAGGTTGCTCCAAGCCCCATCCAACCTGCCCTTCAACACTGCCAGGGATGGGGCAGCCACAGCTTCCCTGGACAAATATTGTACTGATGGGAAGAGCCTGAAGAGGGCAAATGATGCTTGGGGCTCTGAGGAGATGCAGCCTATGATGGGATGCAGCCTATGTACCTGTGCCAGTGCAAAGGTCTGGGGCAGTGCCAGTGTGATGTTGTGTGTCAGGATGCTCAGAGCTGCCTGGAGTCGTTGACTTTAGCAATTCTGTTGTGAGGAGGGGGCTGTTACACCACAACCCACTGCTAAAAACCACCCCACTGCTTCTGCACTGTCTAGGAGCCTGCAGAGCCCAGACGTGGGACTGAGCAGAGGCTGTGGCCAAAGAGAAGAAGGGGTTTCTTTTTATAGCATGATGTGTTCTACCCTTGACATTAAGAGCTTGCAGAGTCAGGGCAGGTGGCTGGTAGAGCTGCTGCTGGGGAGCAGGGCACAGAGCTCCTCACACAGGGAGGTGTTGTGCTCCAAAGAGGCCTTGGCATCAGGGCTTGTCACACTGGGGTGGGGGGAAAAGTGTCCTTTGCCATTTCCATTTGGCTACAGCCTCTTGAAGTGAGGGAGAGTCTGTAGGGAAGGGAAATGTCTTCGTTTCATCAGCTGGTGTTGCAGGCAAAGCAGATGAATTTCCAGGAGTTGGGAAGAGGCTCCATAACCGTGCTCTGTGAGATTGCTGGGGTCTGGCCAAGCCTCTCACCTACACCATCCCACCTGTGGGCTGTGAGGAGACAAAACTTGGCCAAAGCAGGAGAGGTTAAGGCTTGTTTCCTGGGGCCTTTCTGGTGCCCACACCTAAGGAAAGCAGGGCTGTTCCTACAGTGCCTTGGTGAGGTCAGTTATCTTCTGCCCCAGTGAACTGAGGCTCTCCAGCCATTCTGCAATGCAGAGTGCTGGATCATGGACCTTGAAGGAGTTGGTCTTTTCCACTGCTTGTACCTTTTCCAGTGGTTTAAAGACAAGATTCCTCTTGAGGTTTTCCTTCCAGCTTCACGTCCCTTCCCTGTTCCCAAGCCTAATTCTCTGCTTCTTTTTTCTTTTCCCCCTTCAGCTCATGGTGGTCCCATGTGGAGATGGGTCCCCCCGACCCCATCCTGGGGGTGACAGAAGCTTTCAAACGTGACACCAACTCCAAGAAGATGAACCTGGGGGTGGGGGCATACCGGGATGACAACGGGAAGCCGTACGTCCTGAGCTGTGTTCGCAAGGTGAGCAGGGGAGAAAACAGGGAACACGTGTCCTGTTCCCATCCAGGTCCATCTGATTCCTTGCTGACTTCCACCAGCTCTCCAACCAGCCCTCTGAGCTTCAAGGTGTTTCTTGAACCAGGCTGATGTTGCCTGGGCCAGCCTGTCTGGGAGGAAAGAGCTGATGTTGTCCCCTTCCTGGATTAGTCTTAGAAATTCTGCTGAGCCCTTGTTGCCAGTTTTTCCATGAGCCAGTCTAAAACTCCAGCCCAGGGAGCTGGATGTGGATGCTGCCCTTGAGGGGATTATGGATCTTTTCAGGGCTCCAATTGTAGAAATAGGCCATGAAACAGCTGGCAGCTGACACACACAGTGGCTGCCTGCTCTCCTTGGCCTTGGGAGGATGTGTTGTCCATGTTTCTCCCCACTGTGGGGTTTAAAGCCATCCCTTGCCCTGGATCTCTCTGGGTCACCATGTACTGCAGCTGGGTCACAACTGTGGAGCCAGGGTGGTGTCAGGAGCAGCTCCCTGGTGGCATGTGGATGCTGCCAAGGTCTGTCCTGCTTCTCTGGCAGCACAGGTGGGGCTCCTGGGGTGCTCCAGATGTCTCCATCACTGTGTTTTTCCTGAGTGTGGCTCCTTGTCTGCTGTTCTCACTTCCACTCTCTGATATCCTGTGTTAGGTAGAGACTTGGATTGGTTTCTGATGCTGGGTCTGTTGGAAAGAAGTTCATCCCAGCAAAGCTGGGGGTGCTGTCTTGAAGGGCTGGCTGAGCTAGTGCTCACACAGGCTGCTTCCAAAATGGCCTGGGGGGCTGGATTTTTTTAATTATTATTTTTTAACTTGCTCCATCTAGTTCAAGAACACTCCCAGCACACTGCAAAGGGCTTTTGCCCTCCCTTTGTGGAGATAAGCTCTGCTTTTCAGGAACAGTCAGGTCTCCTCCTCCTGCTTGGAGAAACCTGTGTCCTTGTCCGGCAGTGCTGGCTCTGAACAGGCTGGAAGGGGTGTTCTCCTCTGGCAGTGGGTTTCCTGCCTCTGTCTTCCTTCCTGAATGTGTGTCCTCCTTCCCAGGCCGAGGCCATGATAGCATCCAATAAGATGGACAAGGAGTACCTGCCCATTGGGGGGCTTGCAGATTTCACCCGGGCCTCCGCGGAGCTGGCGCTGGGGGAGAACAGCGAGGCCTTCAAGAGCGGCCGGGTGAGGAGCACTGGGAAGAGGGGGTGGGAGCCCAGTCTGAGGCACGGGTGGGATGTGGGTGCCCAGGAAAGCAGGAGGACTGGCAGGGGTACTAGTGCCTCTGAGTTGCAAGCTGCTTCCTCTGAAGGCTGGGGTGAAATGGCCTTTCCTGAGGAGGGGGATAACCTTGCCAGGGCTCTCAACTCCCTTCCCTGCAGCTGCTGTCCCACATGGTCCCCTCCAGCCCCACATCCCTGTTTGGGTGTGCTGATTTGGGTTGGAAGGGACCTTAAAGATCATACAGTTCCAGCCCCCTGCAGGGACACCTCCCACCAGCCCAGGTTGCTCCAAGCCCCATCCAACCTGCCCTTCAACACTGCCAGGGATGGGGCAGCCACAGCTTCCCTGGGCAACCTGGGCCAGGCTCTCACCACCCTCACACCAAACAATTTCCTCCTCATGTCTCACCTCAATCTCCCTCTTCCAGTTTTAATCCCTTCCCCCTTGTCCTCTTTCTGATGTGGGGACAGGGCAGTTCCCCATGCCCTACCATGGCTGCTCACACTGGTGTTTGCTCCTTCCCTTGCAGTATGTCACTGTGCAGGGCATTTCTGGGACTGGATCTCTGCGAATCGGAGCCAACTTCTTGGTGAGTCCATGGCTGCTGGGGGAAAGGAGAGGACACCTTTAGATCAGAGCTGAACCTTTGGGGGTTTTCTATCTGCTTGAACCTGTTCAGGCTGTTTGAACACTCTGTCCTTCTCTTGATCAGCAACGATTCTTCAAGGCCAGCCGTGATGTGTATCTCCCCAAGCCATCCTGGGGCAACCACACCCCCATTTTCCGGGATGCTGGCCTGCAGCTCCAGGCCTATCGCTACTACGACCCCAAGACGTGCAGCCTGGACTTCTCTGGAGCCATGGATGACATTTCTGTGAGCTGCCTTTGATGCCTGGAAGGCAGGGGAGGTGGTGTGGGAGAGGGGTGATCATCTAGTTTTAGCCTAAATGTGATGTCTGAAGGCACCAAATCAAGGCTAGAAGCCTTGCAGAGCTTGTCTTGAGCTGTCTAGGGTAAGAGTCTCATCTCAGGTGCTGAGGAGAGTGCTCAGATGTCATGAATAATTGATCCTCTTCAACATCTTCCTTAGAAAATTCCAGAGAAGAGCATCATCCTCTTGCATGCCTGTGCTCACAACCCCACCGGGGTGGATCCCCGACAGGAGCAATGGAAGGAACTGGCAGCTACAGTGAAGGTGAGCAGTGGAGTATCCCAAGGGCTGGTCCTGGGAAAAACTCCATCTCTGAGCTTCCGTGGGTGGCATCTGGCCTTCACTGCACCAAAGGTTACCCCCTTCCCTGAGCTCAGTGTCATGTTTCTGCAGTGAGGATGGGAGCCAACCCATTAAGCTTCTGGCTGACTTGTCAGGCTTTCTGCTGGCACCTTCCCAGGAAGCTGGGATAGGGAGACCTGAAAGGAGAGCAGCAGGGTGGAAAGAGGGAGCCCTGATAGCTGGAGGGTTCCCAGTGCTGGAAGATTTTCCACATGCCTGAAGTCTCCTCGCAAGCTTCAGCTGAAAATGGATAGGGCAGGTTCTTCCTTCATAGTTCTCCTCCTCCTTGCTGCTCTTCCAAGCTGCAGCCAGTGACATTCAGCTTGGGGATGCCTGGAGTTACTAGTGTCCTGAGAACTGGTAGTTGTCAAAGTGGCCTGTGTGGCCCACAGGTGGCTGCCCTGACCTTAGGGCAGTGGCCAGGTGCTGTGTGCCTGGAGCTGTTGGAAGGGCTGGCTCCTGCCCAGAGGGCTCCCAGGTGGTTCTCCTGGAAACTGATAATACAGGAGACAATGACTTGGAATCATGTATTACTGCTGAGTCCACTTCTGCCTCCTGGGCCAGGCAGCACATCCCATAATGTACTGGGAGGGTCTTTAGCTGCTGTTTGGATGTCTGGTGGGCAGCTGTGGGTTGTGAGCTGCCTTCCCTTGGCAAGTGACAGGGAATGGCTGCTCTTCTGGACAAGAGTTGCAGTTGAGCAGGCTGCTGCCTGCCTGGCTCTGCCACCCCTGCCTGGCTCTGCCACCCCTGGCCTGGCTCTGCCACCCCTGGCCTGGCTCTGCCACCCCTGGCCTGGCTCTGCCACCCCTGGCCTGGCTCTGCCACCCCTGGCCTGGCTCTGCCACCCCTGGCCTGGCTCTGCCACCCCTGGCCTGGCTCTGCCACCCCTGGCCTGGCTCTGCCACCCCTGGCCTGGCTCTGCCACCCCTGGCCTGGCTCTGCCACCCCTGGCCTGGCTCTGCCACCCCTGGCCTGGCTCTGCCACCCCTGGCCTGGCTCTGCCACCCCTGGCCTGGCTCTGCCACCCCTGGCCTGGCTCTGCCACCCCTGGCCTGGCTCTGCCACCCCTGGCCTGGCTCTGCCACCCCTGGCCTGGCTCTGCCACCCCTGGCCTGGCTCTGCCACCCCTGGCCTGGCTCTGCCACCCCTGGCCTGGCTCTGCCACCCCTGGCCTGGCTCTGCCACCCCTGGCCTGGCTCTGCCACCCCTGGCCTGGCTCTGCCACCCCTGGCCTGGCTCTGCCACCCCTGGCCTGGCTCTGCCACCCCTGGCCTGGCTCTGCCACCCCTGGCCTGGCTCTGCCACCCCTGGCCTGGCTCTGCCACCCCTGGCCTGGCTCTGCCACCCCTGGCCTGGCTCTGCCACCCCTGGCCTGGCTCTGCCACCCCTGGCCTGGCTCTGCCACCCCTGGCCTGGCTCTGCCACCCCTGGCCTGGCTCTGCCACCCCTGGCCTGGCTCTGCCACCCCTGGCCTGGCTCTGCCACCCTGCTGCCCTGCTCCTTGGAGGGATGTTCACCCCCTGTGACCCTCTCCCCTCTCTGCTGGCAGAAACGGAACCTCCTGGTGTACTTTGACATGGCCTACCAGGGCTTTGCCAGCGGGGACATCAACCGGGACGCCTGGGCTGTGCGCTACTTCATCGAGCAGGGCATCAACGTCCTCCTCTCACAGTCCTATGCCAAGAACATGGGGCTGTACGGTGAGCAGGGCAAGGGGGGAGGAGGTGGCTTCAGTCAGGCTGCTGGAGGGACCCTGCTGCCTCCAGGGTTTGGCAGCCAGTGTCTTCCTGCTGCCTGTGTTCCTCGGGGCGCAGGGAAGAACCTGCTGGGAGCTGGTGGAGACCCTTCTGGGGCTCTGCTAAAGCTGGGTGGTGTCTCACAGAGTGGTGGGGGTTGGAAGGGACCTCTGGAGATCATCCAGTCCAACCATCCCCTAGAGCAGATCCCACAGGAACACATCCAGACAGGTCTGGAATGTCTCCAGGGATAGAGACTCCACCACCTCCCTGGGCAGCCTGTCCCAGGGCTCTGCCACCCTCAGAGTCAAGAAGCATTTTCCCATATTCAGGTTCAACCTTCTGTGCTCCAGTTTGTGCCCATTGCCCCTTGTCCTGTCACTGGACACCCCTGAGAAGAGTCTGGCCCATCCTGACACCCCCTGCAGATATTGACCAGCACTGATCAGATCCCCCCTCAGGCTCCTCCTCTCCAGCTGAGCAGCCCCAGCTCTCCCAGCCTTTCCTCACAGGCAGATGCTCCAGTTCCCCCAGCATCTCAGTGCCCTGTGCTGGACTCTCTCCAGCAGCTCCTTCTCCATGAACTGGGGGAGCCCAGACCTGCACACGGTCTCAAGAAGCCCTGCCCCAGCCCTGGCTATCCACGGGCAGAGGCAGGGACCTGACTGCCCCTCTCCCAGGGGAACGTGCTGGTGCCTTCACGGTGATTTGCCGCGACGCCGAGGAGGCCAAGAGGGTGGAGTCTCAGCTGAAGATCCTCATCCGGCCCATGTACTCCAATCCCCCCGTCAACGGGGCCCGCATCGCCTCCATCATCCTCAACACCCCCGACCTCCGCAAGGAGTGGTAAGAGGGAGCCCCCTTCAGGCTCACAGCAGCTGGGAGGTCTCCCTGTGCTGTGCTGAACGGCCTGCTGCTGTTGTGGGCAGCTGTGGGAAACTGGTCTTTTCTTCCCCACACACTTTACAGCTTCCAAGGGACAGTCAGAACCACCCTTTCCCTCTGGAGAAATCCCTGCTCCTGTCCTGGCATCACCTCCAGCCTGACACAGGTTTCCCTTGTGTTAGCAAGGCACAAACCAAACCCCACTGCAAAGGAGGGGCTGGAGCTCCCTGAGGGCTGCAGGAGCTGCCTGTCCAGGGAGTGGGAAACACTGACATCATGTGTCTCACACGGGGGATGTGGAAGCATAAGCTCCCTGGGAATAAAACCCAGGAATGTAGCCCTGTGCCCTAAGCCTGCTCCCTGGCACCAGCCTGTGCTGCTCTCCCAGCCCTGACAGAACAAAGGCTGGCAATGTGCTGGGAGCTGGAGCCTTTGGGAGGCACCTGATGCCAGGCTCTGGGGAGACATCTCCAGGCTGTGCTGCCTTGGAGCAGGGATCTCTGCCTCTGGTTCCCCACATACCAAGATCTGCTTTTACCTGCAGATATTACCTGGTTTGGGCAGTGCTGCCATGAGGCCTCCTACTCACCTGTGGCTTTCAGAAAGGAGAAATGCCAATACTCTGGTAGTAGTGTCCAACAGAGATGGAATAAATAAATAGTAGTCACCTTTGGGTAACCAGGAGAAAGGAGCAGCTCCCCAGCTGGAGCTCCAGCTTCACACCCTTTGGTCTTTGCTCATCTGCATCCTCCACGTTTTTAGGGGTGTGAGGCCCTTCCAGGTGGACAGGGATTGATTCCTGGTAGCTGTGGGGGAGGGAAAAGTGTTGGTGCATCCCAGCCCTGCTCTGAGCTGCTCCTGGGTTGGTTCCTCAGGCTGGTGGAGGTGAAGGGCATGGCTGACCGGATCATCAGCATGAGGACTCAGCTGGTGTCCAACCTCAAGAAAGAAGGATCCTCCCACAACTGGCAGCACATCACTGACCAGATTGGCATGTTCTGCTTCACAGGGCTGAAGCCAGAGCAGGTAAACACACTCTCTGTGGACTCAAGGTGTTATTTGTGAGCCTTGTCAGTAAGACCTTGACTGCAGGTGCCAAAACTGCCCCATGTGGGCAGTTCTTCCTCCAGGAGGAACATCCTCCCAGCCTGTGGAGCACTGGAGCACCCTGGGGACCCAGGTCCTCTGCTCCCAGCTGTGCTGTGGAGGTTGGTACACGTGGCTTGTGTACCTGACAAAGGAGATGTTCCTCTGGTGGCACTGAGGTGGCCTTCAGGGCCAGTGAGGTGACTGCACATCTGCACTGCTTGTGTGATGCCTGGCAGCACCTCCTGTGGATCACGGGGTCTGAAGGCCATGGGGTGCCACGGCTGCTGCCTCCCAGTTTGCTTCCAGCTCTGGCAAGCTGGGTACCTCTTCACTCTGCCAGCAGAGCTGGGGCTGGGGTTTGAAACCTGCCCTTTCCCCCCAGGTGGAACGACTGACCAAGGAGTTCTCCATCTACATGACCAAGGACGGACGAATCTCCGTGGCAGGAGTCACATCAGGCAACGTGGGTTACCTGGCCCATGCCATCCATCAGGTCACCAAGTAGAGACAAAAGAGGTGTGCCCTGGAGCTGGTGGCCTTCCCTTCTCCACCTGCCAGACATGGGGAGGGGAAGGAAACGAGCAGAATCCTTCCAACTCGACGCTGCTGCTGAATGTATCTTTGTAGATAAGTTGTTGTAGAAGCCTGGTCAAAACCACCCTGCCTTGTGGAGCAGGGACATCATTGCTGGCTCCCATTCGTCACAGCCTTTCTCCCCTGCTGTCCAGCCTTTTCTCCATCAGCCCCAGCACCATCTGCACTGGAGGAAGCAAAACGTTTAGCTCTGCCGTCCTGCGGGTGGAGCCACCAGAGGCTTCCCCACGCTCCTGTCTCCACCAGAAAGCTTTGTGAGGCCTCTGGGTGGGCTGAGTGGGAGGGGGCTGCTGGGGTGCACCCCTGCCCACCTCCTCAGCTGGGCCCTGCTGCCAGGAGGCTCCATCCTCCTCTCCTAGCCCAGAGCTGGGCAGGGCCAAAGCCATTTCTACCCAACAACCAGCTCCGAGGACTTCTCAGTGCTAAAACCTGCTCCATCAGCTTCTCTTCCTTCCATCTGGGAACCTCCCGTTGAGGTGTCACTCCCAGTGAGGGTGTGTGGGGTGAGCCCCTGTCCCTCCTCTAAACCTGCTGCCTTTTCCCGACTTCACTCCTGTGCCCTGGAGGGAAATAATTCCTCACCTTCCCACACAAGAAACCCCGCCTTGCAAACTCCTGTTGGTCTCTGCCTCTTCCTCGCCCAGCCCAGCCCCCTCAGCAGCCCTTCCTGCCACGTGGAGTCCATGTGTGTCCCAAAGCCATGTCCACCTTCATCTGAGGGTGCAGGGTGTTCCTCTCATCTGCTGACAAGAGAAAACAGGAGGGGAAAGATCTTGAGGGAAGAGCCGACAACTCCAAAAACATTCTGTCCTTTCAGGCTTGGGTGTCCCTGAGCCCCTGGGACTGGCTGGACTTTGGTTTTTAATCCAAATAAAGTGGCTCATGGCTGTGTCGAGCTGGGGGCTTCCTCCTGTCACCCCCCCGCCCCCCACAGCTGGATTCCTCCTGTCACCCCACAGCTGGATTCCTCCTGTCACCCCACAGCTGGATTCCTCCTGTCACC